ATGACATGTGATCGTGACCATTTATACTATCTAATTTTCACACGTGCAAAATGATTGGTAAAAATGTACAGGACACTCGTGACGGGACAATAATCTTATTATAAGAGTGAGACAATATCCTTATTATAAGAGTGATAGTATGGTATATTATAATATTACAATATATGAGTGCTGTCAATAGAAAACCTGTCATCGGGCTTTCAATATTCAGTTGGCTTTCTGCATGCTATCTATTGACAATTTATTCTAATGATAGATTGTCCATAGATAGCATACAGAAAACAAGCTGAACATTAAAAGCCCGATGACAGGTTTTCTATTGACAGACTCATATGACTTACGAGATTTTGCATATTTTTACAATTTTCAACACTTGTCATTCTTTAATAAATATAAAAATTTGACAACCCTAGTTGCGGCATAAAAATCGCAAGTAATATTTACACTAGACAGATTTTATACATCGACTGTACACTAATCGAAGATATAATATAACTGCGACCAATAAGAACTGGAAATAATTTCCCTTTGTAGTTCATTTCTAAAGTAATGCTCAAAATCTGTTATTCTTTACGCGAAATTTTAGGAGATACTACCGACACAACACGTGACCTATTTCTGCAAACACTTACATGCTAACCCTAACTCTAATGTGTGTCGTAAGTTCATGATAATCTTATGTCACTTTTAACCAATTTTTTTATTGGCTAGTATATAATTTATATTGCAGAACTCGGGAAAGAATACGGAACTTGGGAAAAATAATCCCGGATAATTATTTGTGGTACTGTATAAAGTTACGCTCAAAATTTATTACACTTTTTTTGAATATTTGAATTTCTATCAACAAAAATGTTTAGTAGCAAGCGATTTTCTTTTGACAAAATCCCTGATCTTTCTGGCAAAGTAATTTTAAAATTTTAAACTATTTATTTATTTATTTATTTATTTAAATATCTCATGTTTAATCTCTCATAATTAAGGTTGCAATAGTGACAGGTGGAAATACTGGTATAGGAATCATAACAGTAAGAGAATTAGCCCGTAAAAATGCTCACGCATTCGTTGCAAGTCGTAGTCGAGATAGAGGTGAATCAGCTGTAAAACTAATAAAAAAAGAAACAAAGAATGATGCAGTTGAATTTTTACAATTGGATCTACAAAGTTTAAATTCTGTCAAAGATGCTGCTGAAACATTTTTGGCTAGAAAATTGCCATTGCATATTCTGTGAGTGTTTATCATAATATATATATACATATTGCGTTAGAACTAGAATTTTTATGTATCTTGATGTATACTCTATTTCAGAGTTAATAATGCCGGTATTATGGGAACGTAAGCTATTTTTTCATATGTGGTCAGTTCATGACGTGAATATATATAATAAATTATCAATCTAATTTTTACATTCATATAAAAAAGTCCATTTGCGACAACCGTAGATGGTATTCAAGATCAGTTTGGCACTAATCATATTGGCCATTTTGTAAGTATAGTATGAGAATCTTTTAATTAAAAGTTTTCTTTAATAAAAAAAACGTTATCATAACAAAACTACGAAATAGGTCTTCACACTCTTACTGTTGCCAACCATCAAAGCTTCGGCTCCATCGCGTATTGTAAATGTTAGCAGGTTAGTTTAATTTCTTTCCATATTTGGAAATTTAATTTTATGTTATTGACCGTTATCGTCTCGGTATGATTTTAGTGATGGTCATAGATTTGCACCTTCACCAGCAGGAATAGAATTTGAAAAGTTGAATGATCCTAAAGCTCATACTCCTTTTCAAAGATACGGTCAATCGAAACTTGCAAATATTTTATTTACTCTTGAACTTAATAAACGACTTTCAGGAACAAATGTCTATTGTAATTGCCTTCATCCAGGTAAAGAAAATATTTCAAATTAGTATTTTATAATACGAGTATATACTGTATAATAAATTATTTTAAATAATATATTATTTAATATCAATAACTGCATACGTATACATAAGGACTGAGTTAGCGCGTGGATTGGAAGCTGACTGGGGATCTTGGATAAAACCAATTGTCTCCTTAGCTGGCTTTTTCATGTTATCACCTGATGATGGTGCTTTAACTCAACTTTATTGTGCCACAAGTCCTGAAATTGAAGAAAAAAATTTCCGTGGATTATATTTTGTACCATTTGGTGAGGTAAATGAACCTCTTACTGCTCAAGCTAAAGACGAAGAACTGGCAAAAAAGTTATGGGATTTTTCTGAAAATTTTTGTAAAGAAAAATTGGATGCTAACATTTTTAGTAAAAGTTATGCATAATGTTGGTGTCATGACTGTTAAATCATGGGTTTTTATTTTTTGTTTTTTATGTTCTTATATCGATATAGTTTCATTTTCATATTTATGTATTCAATTTATTCAGTTGTAACTTAAGATGCATATGTATACTTTTATAGCTATTATATTAAAAAAAAAATCTATAACTTATATTTGGCTCTAGTTTTTAAACAAAATTTTGTGTATAACATTCTCTAGCATTAAGCTTTAAAGCGTCGAAGGGGGATTTTCCTAGTCCATGCCCCATATTTTTACCTGAATCTGATATTAAATCGGATCAGATTTCCGTTATTCTTTTTGCAGTTACGGTCGTAATAACGTAATGTTATCATGCAAAACTCTTTTGATCATAGATTTTTTCTTCTTGTTATTTTTTGTACGTTATTACATAAGCACAGCAATCTCGAATTAAAACTCAGTTAGCAATAATGACTTGTAAATCATGATCATAATTGCATGACCAATATCTTATAAATAATGTAAAAAATAATAATCATTTATTTTTTTCAATGCACAATAACGATTCTATTGCTATAATTACAGCTGATTTGAAAATTAGTGGGACACATGATGAATTTTGTGATCATCCAAATTTCGGTAATTATTTTTCGGTAATAACAGTGTAGTTTTTCGATAATATAATTTTTCGGCTGATATATTATTGCGGTATCGTTTGAAAAATAATTACCGAAATTTGGATGATCATCACAAAATTCATCATGCGTCCCACTATATTACTAACGCTAAATATTCGGGACTAACGTTAAATAATAACATATTATTCAAGATGAATATTTTGATATTGATCGATATTCCTTTTTAAAAATATCATTCTTTTAAAGTTCGATGTCATTAACTTACCCGCATTACATCACAAAGTTGTTTTTATGTTGAATTATGTAGTAAAATTTTTATGTAGCTTTATAAACCCAATGTAGATTTTACATAGCTATTTATATAAATCTATGTATATTTCTATGTAGAATTATGTAAAATTTCAAAAAAAAATTCAACTTAAATATCAAAGATAGAAATAGATTTTAAAGCTTAAACTAAGGGTTTGGGGAGTGTTTTCTGGCCTGCTGAACATTTTTACTTAGTATAT